TTGTATTCATTCTCTTTTTTTTTTTTTTTTTTTTTTTTTGAGACAGGGTTTCTCTGTGGCTTTGGAGGCTGTCCTGGAACTCCCTCTGTAGTCCAGACTGGTCTTGAACTCACAGAGATCCGCCTACCTCTGCCTCCTGAGTGCTGGCATTAAAGGCGTGCGCCACCAAAGCCCGGCCAGAAATCAAGTTTTTACTAAGGAAAATTTCTACTTATAAAGAAAAGTAGAGAGAAAAATATTATGGACCCTATAAAAACATTATCGGTGTCAACAATCATAGCCTCTTGATAATCTATGCCCTCTTGAGAAACAGAAATAAGCTCACTTCCCTGAGTTTTGTCTCCCTTTATATTCTTTTTGTGTGTGGGGGCACATCCATGCCAGAGCACTTATGTAGAGATCAGAGAACAACTTTAGGGAGTTGGTTCTCTCCTTTTAGCAGCAAGTACCTTTACCAAATGAGACTTTAATGCCCATTCCCAAACAAGGTATTTTCCCTTGCACCGAAGAATCATGTCACAGTACCTAAACTAAAAGGCTGTGTGCTCACTTTAGCAGCGCATAGGCTAAACCTTGTACGATACAGAGAAGATTATTAGCATAGTGTCTACTCAAAGATGACACATAGAAAGTGGGCATGGTGGCACATGCCTTTAATCCTAGCACTGGAACCTGGTGTACATAGTGAGTTCCAAGACAGCCAAGACTATTACATTGACTTTATCTTAAAACAATAACAACAAAAAACAAACAAACCAGTTTTGTGAAACACTTCTCATTTTTAAGCCCATTATTTTGAATGATAAACTAAAAAATTAAGGAACAACAACTAGACATAAAGAATTGGGGTTTGCAGTGGGCAAAGGTGCTCGCCACCATACCTGACGACTGGAGTTCAGTCACTGAAACCTGCACGGAAGAGAACTGACTCTCAACAGTTGTCACCTGACCTCCCCACTAAATAAATAAAATCTCATTTTTAACTTTGTTGCTAATTTTGTTTTGGGATGGGGATTGGTTTTTTGTGGGTTTTTGTTTGTTTGTTTTGAGGCAAGGTCTCACTATGTAGTTCTGCCTGGGCTCAAACTTGTCAGGCCAGCCTCAAACTCACAGAGATCGCTATCTGTCTCTATTCTCCAAATGCTGTAATTAAGACATGCATCACTACTCCCACCCCCAAATTAATTTTTAGAGAATTATATATCTGACCATTATAAATCTACAACTTTTTTCTGCTTTATTTCTACAGATCATGTTATAAAATTAATGTTTACTATCTAAATAAAATAGTGGTTAAGAGGACTGGCTGCCCTTCCAGAGGACCCTGGACAATTCCCCGCAACCAACATGGCAGTTCACAACTGTCTGTAACTCCAGTTCTAAAGGATCCGACACCCTCATAAGACATACATGCAAAACAAAACAAAACAAAAAAAACCAATGCACACAAAATAAAAATAAATAAATTATTGAAAGAAAGAAGTTCTGGAGGCTGGAGAGATAGCTCAGCGGTTGAGAGCACTGGCTGCCCTTCTAGAAGACCCAGGTTCAATTCCCAGCACCGACATGGCAGCTCAAAACTGTCTGTAACTCCAGTTCCAGCGGATCTGATATCTTCACACCAATGCACATAAAAACAAGTTAAATAAATTTAAAAATTAAAAAAATAAAGGAGTTGCAACTAAATGTGCCTTTTCAGTACGAATGGGTTCTAGAGTATGTTGCCCCTCTCTGCAAATCTCACTTCTGAGTTTTCCCCACTCAACTTTCTGATTGCCTACCTTGTATTCCCCATCGCCATGCAAATCTGCCAGAGCTGGAAAACACAGAGGGTCGTAAGTGGGAGCTCCAAAGGCTTCACCATTACCCGATCCT